GGAAAGGCTCCTGGGCCAAAGGCTGCTCCTGCGTTGCTGCCTAAGACACCAGTTGGCGCGCCTAAGACGGCACTTCCAGTTTCTCCAAAGGCTGGAGAGGGGCCAGCGGCGAAGGCAGCAGAAGGAGCGGCAGGTGAGAAGACCGGTGCAGGTGTCGAGGAGAAGAGCGAGGCTGAGGCGAAGGAGGGAAAGGCTCCTGGGCCAAAGGCTGCTCCTGCGTTGCTGCCTAAGACACCAGTTGGCGCGGTGGCCAAGAAGGCACTTCCAGTTTCGCCAAAGGCTGGAGAGGGGCCAGCGGCGAAGGCAGCAGAAGGAGCGGCGGCTGACAAGACGGCTGCAGGTGTCGAGGGGAAAAGTGAGGTTGAGGCGAAGGAGGGAAAGGCTCCTGGGCCAAAGGCTGCTCCTGCGTTGCTGCCGAAGAAGGCTCCATTGGTGCTTCCTAAGAAGGGAGTGGCGCTCACAGAGAGTAACCGTGGAGCTGGCGTTGATCGGTCGCCCTCTGGGGAAACAACTAAGATAGGAGATTTCGGGGATAAGGTGGCAGCGCCTGCTTCTGGCGAACAGAAGGTCTTTGCCTCTGGTGAGCATTAGGCCCTGTGTGTCCCGGCATGAATTGCGGAGTACCGGCTGCAGCATTAAGACCCAGCGCCGTTTTACTGAGTTGCAGCTTGATACTCTCTTAAACATTGAGAGAAACGCAGTTGGGGAAAATTATACTTATTCCGCTGATCCGTATGGACCTCGCGCAGGTCCCTCGGCTAACCTGCACACGGTTCAACATGTTCTTGGAGATTCCGCATCCGCCGCCAACCCCGTCTTGCAGGCTCAATCCCGTTCAACAGGCGACTACAGAGATACGTCGATTCTTGCAGCAAGCGAAGGTGAACCCTCGTTGACTCTCCTTCAAAACCATATTCCTTCTCAAGGACAAGCTAGCAAGCAGGTCAAACCAGCCGCTACCCAACAAAGTCCACCGCTACATGTGCCACCCACCTTATCATCCAAACTCGATTCGACTGCCCATTCAACCGACGCCACGGACTCCCCTCCTACACCACGCACACGCGCAATTCCAAACAGCGATGAGGCGGATAGACCAGCCGAGGCGACGGCTGCGCCAGCCGCCCCAACGAAGGCAGCGCCTGCGTTGCTTCCGAAGAAGTCCATGAGCGTG